TCCTCCGTTTTTCAGGGCGCGTTCAATTCGCTCCATGTTATACCGTCTTACATCGCATACCTTAGGTCTATTAATTAACTTCGAAAGCTCTGCCAGTTCTATTTTGTCTGTTGTACTTGACACTTTCATGATTGGACGCTTCTTAATTAGGTTAAAAGTATACAAAACTAAGGAGCGTCATCTGCTCTGCTACTTGCCCTTTTAGCCATAAATGTTCCCTGCCTTCCCGGTAGATCCTTTGCCAGGTTGTACTTTTATAAAGAATGCCCTAATACCACCCCCCTTTCTGCTGCCTTCTGTTCTATTACAATATTCCCATGCGTAGCCCGGACTGTTAGGTGGTTGTTCCATTTCTTTAAAATGTGTTTCTACAAACCTGTATGCCACCAGCTTCTCCTTCTTTAGCTTTAATTCTATTTCTCCCCACTTCCGCCTATTCCTTCCACCCTGCATGTTAATGTTTTCGCCCTAATGGCAAAAATAAGAACGAAATAGACTTTATAATGAGTGCACACCCAGGAATCGTGCAGGATGTGGAAGTGGTTCGCAAGGTACGATACAGTGACCATAGAATGGTATGGACTCGACTTCGCCTAGACTTGAGAAAGGAACGACAGAAACTGATACGCAAGAAGCCAGTCAATGAGCTAGCACTGAGAGGGAAAGTACACGAAATCAGAGTCTCGCTTCAGAACAGGTACTCGGCTCTTAGTGAGGAAACCAACCTTAGCATAGATACAATGAATGATAATCTGACGAGTATCATTACAGAGTGTGCAGTGAAAGTAGGAGGCAGGGTAGTTAGACAGGACACTGGCAAGCTTTCCCAGGAAACGAAGAATCTCATTAGGAAGCGTCAAATCATGAAAGTCTCAAGTACAACAGACAAAATAGAACTGGCAGAGCTTTCGAAGTTGATTAATAGGCGTAAGGTATCCGACGTAAGAAGGTATAACATCGAGAGAATTCAACATGCTCTGAAAAACGGAGGAAGCGTCAAAGCAGTAAAGAGGAAACTTGGGATGGGCCAAAATCGGATGTATGAACTAAGGGACACAGAAGGCAAAAGAACTACCAATATGGATAGGATAGTTAAAATAGCAAGGAGTTTTACAGAGATCTGTACAGTAGCCGGGACAACCACGACTTTAATACTATAAGAACTAGCAGTAACCCAGATGACACCCCACCAGTAATGATAGAAGAAGTCAGAAAAGCTTTGGAGAGCATACAAAGAGGCAAAGCTGCTGGTGAGGATCAGGTAACATCAGATCTACTGAAAGATGGAGGACAGATTGTGTTAGAAAAACTAGCCACCCTGTTTACGATGTGTTTCCTGACGGGAAGAGTACCAGAGTCTTGGAAGAACGCTAACATTATCTTAATACATAAGAAAGGAGATGACAAGGACTTGAAGAATTACAGGCCGATTAGCTTGCTCTCTGTAGTATACAAGCTATTTACAAAAGTAATTGCTAACAGAGTAAATAAAACATTAGAATTCATTCAACCAAAGGAACAAGCAGGATTTCGAACAGGCTACTCAACAATCGACCACATTCATACTATCAATTAGGTAATAGAGAAATGCTCAAAATATAACCAACCACTATACATAGCCTTCATAGATTACGAGAAGGCGTTTGATTCAGTAGATATATCAGCCGTCATAGGAAAACTGCGGAATCAGGGCGTCGATGAAGTATATGTCAAGCCGTTCTTACCTCGAGCATCGAGACATCGCCACTCACACAATCTTCTTCCTTACAAAGCTTGCACAAATCTATTCAAATACTCTTTCTTCCCGCGGACAATTGCGGATTGGAATGCATTACCGAGTTCGGTTTTCTCTGCGCGAACTGCGGCCGCTTTTTCAGCGAAGGTGTTTGCTGCCCTAGAATAATTATCATCTTTGTTTCAGAGGTTTGCTGACCGATTGCTGGTGCTTTTCTAGTTTTTGTGTAGCTCTCGAACGGTTGAGGATGTTTTAGTCGTGGGTTTTCATTGTTTGTTGGGAAAAGTGCGTATTTGTCTGATTTTTTTTATTTTTGAAGTAAAACAATTTAGGGTGGTCTCTGAATGTACGAGCTCTACTGTATAATAGGTTTTGTTTGCTTGACCTAGAGACAGTGTGATCGTTGCAACTTTCTAGTTTACAATGAGTTTTGCACTGTGCAACGTTTTTTTTTTTACCTGAAGATGTGAGTATAAATGTATGTATGTGTGTATTTGTTTATATATCTATACTGTTCGTGTGTATGACCAAAACATGCTAATTGATATGTATTCACCACTACCATGCGATACATGTAACTTTCCCATCTGCCCTCCTGCTTGGTCCTTATAGGACTGCAGTATGTAATAAATATATAAACATCCTGGAAGAAATCTATAGGGGATCAACTGCTACCATAGTGCTTCATAAAGAAAGCAACAGAATACCAATCAAGAAGGGTGTAAGGCAGGGGGACACAATCTCCGCAATGCTATTTACCGCCTGCTTACAGGAGGTTTTCAGAAGCCTAGAATGGGAACAGTTAGGGATAAGAGTCAATGGAGAGTACCTTAGTAACCTGCGCTTCGCCGATGACATTGCATTGCTGAGTAACTCAGGGGACGAATTGCAACTCATGATTACGGAGTAAGACAAGGAGAGGAGAAAGGTGGGTCTTAAAATGAATCTGCAGAAAACGAAAGTAATGTACAACAACTTCGAAAAGAGCAGCGCTTCGAGATAGGCAATAGTGCACTTCAAGTTGTAAAAGACTATGTCTACTTAGGGCAGGTAATAACCACGGAGCCGAACCACGAGATTGAAGTAACTAGAAGAATAAGAATGGGGTGGAGCACATTTGGCAAGCAATCTCAAATCATGACAGGTAGATTGCCACTATTCCTCAAGAGAAAGGTATATAACAGCTGTATCTTGCCGGTACTTAGCTACGGAGCAAAAACCTGGAGACTTACAAAGAGGGTTCAGCTTAAATTGAGGACGACGCAGCGAGCAATGGAAATAAAAATGGTAGGTGTAATCTTAAGAGACAAGAAGAGAGCAGAGTGGATTAGGGAACAAACGGGGGTTAAGGATATTATAGCTGAAATCAAGAAGAAGAAATGGACATGGGCCGGGCATGTAGCGTGTAGACAGGATAACCGCTAGTCGTTCAGAGTAACTAACTGGATTCCCAGAGAAGGCAAGCGGGTTACGGGGAGACAGAAGGTTAGGTGGGCAGATGAGATTAAGAAGTTTGCGGGTATAAATTGGCAGCAGCAAGCACAGGACCGGGTTAACTGGCGGAACATGGGAGAGGCCTTTGTCCTGAGTGGACGTAGCCAGGCTGATGATGATGATGATGATGATGAAAGAACCATTTATAGTCATGTTAAATGTGTACTGCTGCAATTTTTCTTGTTTATTGATTTTTCCCAACCCATCCTTCATGTAATGTCCCTCTGGACCCTTGATTTATTCGAAATAAGGAGTACAGGTAGGTAATTAATAACAGAATCACATGTGGTTACATGTCGTGTTACCTAGTGAGCCCTTAACTGTGCTAATCAAATGGGAAGATATTGCATTTCAGAACAACATCACACTCAAAGACGGCTTGCATCGAGGTTTTGCCATTGTTTCATCACACTGGGCTCATTGAACGAGAGTCAAGTATCCTCCAAAGAAAAACGGGCATGTTTTCTTTGCTGTTTGACAGCTGTGTCCTCAGACAGAGGAGTGTGGGGGCTGATTTATGTACATAAGTTCTGGTTTTGTGTACCAGCAATGACAGACAAAGGTGCACTTCATTTGTGGCTTGCAATGCCACATTTGCAATCAAGTCCATAGGTTCCAGGTCAAAGACATTTTTCAAGAACACAGTGAATCAGTTGCTGCGCTACTTGACCAACAATATTTCCTGATTTAGAATACCAAGCCTACTGAACTTTTTAAAGAAACCAATGTATGCTTCAACAAACGTCACAAGTGTTGCCAACAATATCTTGACGACGCTACCCTGCACCTCCACCAAATGTGAAGGAGTCGAGATGTAGGTTTAATAATCTGATGAGTAAATCGGCAGCGAGACAAGATGGCTGAGCAGCCCCTTGAGCAAGCGCTTGACACAAAGCCGTCTTCGGCATATTCGGAGAGCCTCACGCTGTGGGGGTGCAGGACAACCCCTGTAAAGTTGTTTGCGCTGCGTGACACACGTGTCTCGCGCAGAAGCCATGTTTTGGGGGTCACAACTATTGAGCAGTAAGTGGCGTTGTGTTTGTGAGCGTTGATCATTACTATCATCATCACGATTATATCAGTAACACGGGCGGTGACCCCTGGCAGCAAGCCTTGGTGGTGGCACAAGAGAGTTGAGCAAGGATATTTGGCTGGTGGCGTTTGACGCGAACGGTGGTCTCTCTCAGTAGGACCACGGTGCATGGCACCGCGGACCGTCTGCCGCGGGGCCCTTGTGATGAGTCAAGCATAAGCGACACCGCCTTGTATTTATGTTGTTGAGTGTTGCGTAAATTTTGTGTAAGGCTGTTTTAGTGTATTGATCCCAATTGATGTTATAATAATTCGGCTGACAATATCGTCGTTCCAAAGCAGTTAAATAAATGCGTGTCGTTTTGGTTTGTTGGGACAGCATCTGCTGTGTCCGTTTACTCCAAGAGCCCGGCTCTCTACACAACGCTTGCTCATGTCCATGACGCGCCGTAACATCATGATGGTTCTGGTACAAAGGTTCTGAGAATTATAGAAGGAAGAGTTTCGACACAGTGAATCACAACTGTAGCACTACAGAAACACCGCCACATAAGTTTACTGTCCAAACCTCCACCTAAGAGGTGAAAGAGTAATGGAAGCCCATCACGAAAGCTACTGCCGGTACCAGAAGCCACTTCAGGAGTTGGAAATGTGTCCAAGATTGCCATGCACTTAAAATTGACTGCAGGCCACTTGCGACAGGCTTTACAGCATGCCCCACAAGAAGTTACTCACATTAAGACACTTGTGAAAAACATTTTATTAATTTTTTTTCTGAAAGCCGACGGGCAGTCAATATGACACCCCGAGGGTCGATTGCAGCCTCCTATTAACACTCACAACAAACACAGACTTTACAGAATGCAAAGCCCAACCTTCTCACCATACTATGAACATGACAGCAGCACTCCACACCCGCGTGGCCTCCTCAACAATTTCCAATCAATCAGCCTCCTCAACAATTTGCGTTGTCACAGCGCACAATTCGAACAATGAAGGATGTCACAAAAAAAAAAAGGAAAGCAAACATTGTTACACTAAATAGAGCCTACTCTAACTTTGTTGCCAATGTACAAGTATACAGATCCCCCTCACCCTCAATAGCTGTAATATACAATAGGTTAGCAAGTGCAGGTAGCGAGAAGACAGGCAACATGCAGTGCAAAAGCTTCACAGAGAAGAGACAAAGCTTGTATGCCGCTGCCACAGATACAACCCAAAAGGAGTAATAATGCATGGTAACCACAATCATGTGTAAGGTACAGCTGGCTCTTCAAAAATTTAATTTCCAGTACACCTATCATGCATATAAACAGCAATGACTGTCTACAACTAAATGGCGATAGGCACCATTTGAAACGCACACTGGTGACAGAGCCAATCAATGAGCAGTGACAGGGCACATGAACAGTCTATACTACCAGAGTAACATAACAGCCAATGGCAGCGGGCTGTAAGTACACCTAAGCTCAGTTTGTCAATTAGAGGTTATATTTGGGCCCCCTAAATGCAGAGCTCTCATTCTGTGCAAACTAGAAATTTCGGCGTGTTGCTCCCAGAACATATACCACCACGGGTCAAGGCTAGTATTCTCACATGTAGAAAGTGAAGCTCAGAAGACGCGCCTGAGCACGGTGACTGGCACGAAGTGCCAATAACGGCTTTCAGGCGTGAAGGCCTAACTCGACAACATGCAGAATAACACACTATGCCCCTAGACAATTGACTTCGGCCCATGAGGCCGAAATTAAACAGTTGAACTTCATTATAGAATTCTAGGTTTCACCCAGATTTCGAATACAAGTCCTACATTATGGCTGCAGTGGGAGCCTGTAGTGACTGCTGCTCTAGCTGGCAACAGCACTATTTTTAAGTGATGCAACTTTATGGGAAAAACCCTTGAGCCTCCCAACAGGATGCAAATAAGCTGGCATAGCTGCAAGTCACTGCAGCTATGCCAGCGCAACATGAATGCTACAACACTGAATAGTGGTCAATACAGTACAGCCCTAACGAGGCCTTCCACTGCGTGGGCAAGCACAATGTGAGCACTTATGAGGGATGGTCACAGTTCCCCAGGGTGCGGCATGTCGCCAGCGCTTCTACAGCTTGCGATGCATTTTGCGCATCATCTGCAGCTTGCGCATCTGCTTCTGCCGCAGTTCCTCTTCCTCCCGCCTCATGTCCTCAAGATCCTCCTTGAGTCCGATTCTCGCGCTGCAAAGATGATAGTCGTCAATATTGTGCACGATGTGCGTTACTGGTGTAGAACAGACAAAAAGCAGCACAACTTGACCTACTGCAAATTAAACAGCTTGAAAAACTCTGAAAACAAAGATGGTGAAAAGATTATAGCTGTTTATTCATTAATAATAATATTTGTTGGGCTTTACCATCCCAAAACCACTATATATGATTATGAGAGACACCATAGTAAAGTGCTTTAGAAGTTTCGACCACCTGGGGTTCTTTAACATGCACCTGAATCTAAGTACACAGGGCCTCAAGCGTTCTTGTTTCTATCAAAAATGTGGCCGCCGTGGCTGAGAGCCAATCCCGCGACCTGCGGATCAGCAGTAAAGCTGCACATTCCACATTATCCTAATGTGGCTAAACTGTATTAATGCATGAACAAGTCATTGATCAAAAATGGGCCACCCTAGCTCAGAAGACCAAGCAGAGAAAGCAACCCACAATGAATTCTTGCAGAGTTTCAGTGGGTACAGCACGTGTATTTTTTTACGCAAAAAGTTCATCTATTAATTGCCAGCACAGTGATGCCAGATAAAAAGACCAAAAGTATTCACGACAGCCTACTGTTAGAGACAAGGTCAATGCCCCTGCAATATCTCATATGGCTGTCAAGTAAAATGTCCTTTGGGCAAGAATACAATTGCTGATGACTGAAAGGTCATCAAGTTTATATACAAGTCTCGTTTAAGAGCAATAATGGCATCCTTCCCACATTTTGCGCAACCCATCTAAGCAAGCAAAACAACCATGCAAATTAGACCACTGATGCCAGTCTCCACTTAAAATACAGTCTCAGAAGTGGCCAGCCCTTTTTCCAACTTATCCAAGGTGCCCATGAAAATTACACACTTCAATGTTCCTGACTTCTGCTGGTTCTCTATAATCATTTGAGCTGAGATACCCTGACCAATGCAGCAGTTACCATTTCATAGAAATGGAGCATAAAGTAGATAAAAGTACGGAACACAACACATATTCATTGTGATTGACCTCTGTAATAATTTTTCGGGTTTAAGGGAAGATGCAAGTTGAAACAGATGAGTTTTTCCCAAAATTACATATTTTTCATTTTTATCTGTTTTCACAAGTTTAGTTTCTTTTTTTTTTTTCATAACAAAAAACTGAAGATTGCAAATAAACTCGAAGTAGGTTAAAACCGCTTAGAAAGAGCACACGATTACTTCCAAAAACTAAAAAAAAGGGTCGTTATCTAGAGTCCTCATGGAAATTGTCACCCGGCTGCTTGCCATTGCATTTCGCTTGAGCAGTTCGCCCAAGCCACATGCTCGAAATAACCGTCATTCCCAAGCTCTCGTGATGTAAGAAATCATTTTAAAAAAAAAACATACCTTTGCTGCATAAATGAGCTGTCACTTACACAATTGAAATAAGCTTTTCTCAAAATACAATTTTGGGCAACTTCTTGAGCTTTGACATCATGTTTTTCAGTACTTCTTCTGAAGTGCTAGATCAAGATAAAATTTGCCCACATATTCTTTAAAGTGTGAATAGTGCAAGTATCTTGTGTAAAATTTGACATCACTTATATAATTATTATGATCAAGTAAGCAATCAGTACGAGCTGAGCACTTTAGACTTCTCACATAACAACTTTTCTTGTCCATTAAAGTCTCATATCCATTTTCTTGTCAATTATTTTTATTTATTTATTTATTTACAAAATACTGCAGGCCAGTGTGGCCCATGCAGGAGGGGCAGAGTAAAACATAAATACATGTACAAAGCACAATTGAGTATCATAAACAAATCAGGTAATGATAAAAAACAACTCTAAATAAAATATAATTAGGAAATAGTGAAGACGTAATTCTGTATTGATTCAGTCAAGTCCAGATGATCAAAAGGTATTAGGTTCTATTCTTCTATGGTGCGGGGAAAAAAAGAAAATTTAAAGAGCTTAGACCTGGCAACATAAGAGAAGAGTGTGAGGGGATGGGAATTAAAGTCAACTTTCGTTAATTCAAACTCAAAAGCTCCTCTGAATTCAGTTTGAATTATCAGAACTTTTCAGATACATGACCCTAGGTGAGGTGACACCACACATTATGATTAGGCATTGATTTTATCACATTTAAAATTTTGTCAAGTTCTTTTTAAGCCCTAACTGCACGCAGTGAACAAAAAGCAGAGGCGTGAAGTCCACAATTTATTGGCCATTTACTACTGATCAGACCTTTCAAAGAAATTGTGAATGGCCAACTGCTTCATTGCTATAGGTATATGCCTTCAGCACAAAGCTCTCTATACCAATTGAGTAGCATCACGGTTTACCATGCGTGTGCTTCAATTCATTTGTGTACTTGTGTTCATTTGCAAGTACACATTCATTTGCGTACTTGCAAAGCCTTTTTCGTGAAGGCCTCAGGCGCTTATTTTTCATTTTTAGACTGTTAGAATTATACAGGCACATTAATTTTTAAATAGTAGTGGGAAAGCAGCAGGTATTATCTGGTGTGAACCTGCAAAAAGTATGAATTAACTGAACGGTGGAGTTTGAAAACAAGCTTTTAAATACATTGAAAGAATAGAGGGCCAACCAAAATATTTAATTTTGTTTGAATTACCCGAAAGTATGAATTATCAGAGTTTGAATTATCGAGAGTCATAGTATTTGCATTCTATGGTTAATGTGGAGCAATATAGACATTAATGGCTCAGAACCATACACATTTAGTGGCGAAAATAATGTGTCCAGAAAGAACTATATTTTACATTACACATTGTCACGGCATAAAGCGAAAGCTGTGCAGCTTGCTGTAAAACTGATCACATATTTGAAATAAGCATAAATCCTATGTGTACAGCAAGACTTTCATTTCCCTAGGTTACAGACTAAAGAACTTCATCAGCTTCTCTCCTTAATGTCTCAAACTCATGATATGATTATGATGGATGTCATAGTGAGTGGGGGTGCTGACACCCCCTGTAAAGTAGTTTGCACATCGTGGCGCATGTGTTTTGTGCATAGGCCGCATTCAGGGGTCACAACTACCGAGGGTAGGGGGCGTCGGGCTCGCGAGTGTTTATCACCGCCATCATCATCATGGTTAGAATGGTAGTGCCCGCGGTGACGCCTGGCGGAAAGTCTGGGTGGTGGCCCAGGAGAGATGAGCGGGCCTCTTTGGCGGGTGGCGGTTGGCGCGAACGGTTGTCCCTTGCGGTGGGCCCGTGAGGATGCCAACACGGGTCTTTGCTCACGGTCCCTCTCGGTGAGTCAGGCGTTGGCGATGCCGCCTTGTGAGTGTTCCTGTTCGTTATGTTTTGAGTGTTGTGTAATTTTGTGTGAGGCTGTTTTAGCATGTTGATCACAATTGATGTATAATAATTCAGCTGACGACATCGTAAATCTAAAAGGGGTAAATAAATGTGTGTTGGTTTGGTTCGTTTCGACCGTGTCTGCTGTGTACGTTCAGTCCAAGAGCGTGGCGCTCTCCACTTCAGACCACACACTGGCTGCCCAACGTGAAGTTCTTAGAGCATCGGACGACATCTTTCGTGGTTCGTTGCAACCTTTCGTTTGAGCCGGGGAAGAGTAAGCCTAGGGGGACTTCCATTGCCAGCATCAGCGGTGTGCTTTGTTAAGAGCGAGGAGATCGGTTTTTGAGATGTGTTTGAACTTGTCAGCACGTTGTTTTTTTTTTTTTGTGTGGTTGGTTTTCAAGAATGTTGTTGTTAAATTGGGATGAGAGCCATGTGTTCTGCATCCTGGGGTGAGCACACAGATTGTACGCCAAACCCAAAGGGAGTGAGTATGGAAGCCGTGTAGGTGGTCCACTTCTCAGTAAATAGCTTCTCCTATACTTTTGGGCTCAGGGAGCCGGGCGTCGTTGCTGTCTTGTCTTGCGGCTCAATGCAGGGGCGTTGTGACACCATCCAGGACGGTGGGCGCCGATCGCTCGGTAAGCTGCTGTGTGCGGCGAATCAGTAGGGACACCTTCTGGAGCTGATGTCTCTTTGCGGCTACCTCTTCTGCGCCTAGGCTGGGTGCTGGGTAGGTGCCGATTGTTGTCAAGCGACTCATTCAGCCTAAGGCTCGGCGCAGCCGCCTGTCGCATGTGGCACAACTAGGTGGATCATGGCGTTGAAGTGTTGCACTCTGGTTCCCTCACTTTTCTTTATCTTACAATGCATGAGTTAGGAAAAGTGACCTTTCTTTTATTTTTGCTGGGCATCTCAGTCGCCACCGATGTATTTGCTAGCAGTACTGGCCATCGTACCACGTGGTGGAGGAGCCCGAAGCTCCCTTCCCTTTGGGTTATGTCCACGATTGAATGTACACGGCGGGAGTGATGTAACCCGTGGCTGGCTGTCTTCTGGACATTGCTTTCGCTGTTGGCAAGGGATGCGGTCTTGAGATCGGGCAATGGACATGCCAGGGACCTGCGCAACTGCCGGCAGTCCGGCGCCCTCATGAGTGCTGGTCGCAACCAGAAGAAGTGTCGGAGTGAGTGACAGTTCCTCGCGCTGACGGCAACGTTGGCGTTGCGGGATCGGTACTGAGTTGAAGTCGTCGAGCCGGACAGTGCAGCAGTGTCGACCGGCGGTGATGGCGTCGTGCATGCACATTCTTTAAGGACATGTGTTGCATTCCTTTGTTAAAGCTTGTGTAGCAGATTTCTCTCAAGTTTTTTTGTGAGGGGGGGGGGGGGGATGTGGTTTGAATTAAGGTTGGGACATGTGAAGGTGCTAACACCCCCCTGTAAAGTTGTTTGCGCCTCGTGGCACACGTGTCTTGCGCAGAGGACCGCACTCAAAGGTCACAACTATTGAGCGCTAGGTGGCGTTGTGCTCGTCAGCGTTTATCACCACCATCATCATCATAATTATAACGGTAGCGCCGGTGGTGACACCTGGCAGAAAGCCTGGGTGGCAATAGATAAGAGAGAAGTGGTCCTCTTTGGCGTGTGGCAGTTGGAGCGAGCGGTTGGCTCTTGCGGCGGTTC